TGTAAGATGGCTGATTTTTGGTATATGTGATTATGTGCTATGTGCCAGTTCAGTGAGGGATAGCCCTCCTCTTATCCAAAGCCCTCCCTGTATACATCCCAAGGTTCAAACCTGAGAACTTGGACTTGGGAGTTTCAAGCTTTTAACCGTTTTGATAGCCCCCAAGGGACAAATTACTGATTTTATAATGGTTGCCAGTGAAATTGTATTCCTGCTTATCTTCTAAATAGAACATCGTATTCCTCCTGACACAATGATTTTTCAGGCCTGCAACAGCGAAGAGGATGGTTTGCTTAGCTTTGACTTGCATAGTGATGGTGAGGGTGGAAGGTGTGTGCTTTTCATGTTGTAGTGTAAACAAACTTTGCATTGCCTCTATGAGGAATTTAACTGAACCATTACCCTTATTGCAGACATCTCAATGCGGTCATGAAAGAAAATAAAACAGATGATATGTTGGGTTCTAATGGTTCAGTGTTTGACTTCCCTTCCCAAGGTTCCTCTTATTCCTGCATTCAGATGAATGGCAAAGAAGTTTTTCGCTTTGCCGTGCGATGTGTTCCGCAGTCAATCGAGTCGGCCTTAGAAAAGGCAGGTCTTACTGCCTCCAGCATCGACTGGTTGCTGCTCCATCAGGTATGGTATAATAGAAAATAGAGACATCGTTAATTAAACACTTGTTTTCCATCATCATACCAAATGTCTGTGCGGTGGTATACATGTTCTGATGATTAGAATTGACAAACTAAAATCTAACTCAGATTGATAAATGCAGGCAAACCAGCGAATCATTGATGCAGTTGCAACGCGGTTAGAATTCCCCCAGGAACGGGTCATATCAAATTTGGCAAACTATGGAAATACAAGTGCTGCGTCCATTCCATTAGCACTGGATGAGGCCGTTAGAGGCGGGAAGGTGAAGCCAGGGCATACCATTGCAACTGCAGGTTTTGGTGCAGGTCTGACATGGGGTTCTGCTATTGTCAGATGGGGATGAAAACTTGCCTTTCCCTGCCAATCAACGATACACAACAGAGAACAGAAAATCATTACGACAACCAGCTCTTCAAACCTTGCTTCGTGTTCCATATGTAACGCAGATGCATAGGGAAGGTTTGGGTTGCCTACTCTTCATGAGCTCCATTTTGTTGAGATTTTACAATTTAGTTGTTGAACATCAAATAAGCTTTTATTCTTTCCCTTCAAGTCCTTTACCTACCCTTTTCACATCCTCTGTACAACCATAATGAGCAGCATGAACATTTTTCATTCAAGTATGAATTCTATAATGCAGCAATGTTGCCAATCTATTACCCATTACCATCAAGAACAGTACACATTTCTATATTCTACAGAATAGTGGAAAACTGGAGAGTTATAAAAGATCAGAGATTATACATCTAGATCTTCATTGAGCTAAAAAATTTTGAATCCTAGCTTTAATCTTCTGTAATGTGCTCTCCACTGCAATGTCAAATGCATCTTTGATGCCTCTCAATCCCATTGAACTTCTATGCCTTCTATACATGACTCTAGGAATCA